GACCACTTCCTGGGAGTGCCCTACTCCCACGACCAGGTGAGAGGCCCGTCAAGCCCCGAAGGGTGCCCCAGGGCTGGGGGGAGTCCCGAAAGATGGAGCTTGGTGAGAGACATGGGGCGGGCTAGCGCTTGCCCGGGCGGATGGGTGTGGGTGGGGTAAGCCCGTCTCTGAGGCGCTCGTGTGAGCGGGCAGCTCTGCAGAACGTGGGTGGCAGTTGTGCGTGACGACATATGCCCTTTGTCAAGGGAGGGAAGGTCAGCTTCTGGGCTACAAAGAAACATCTGGATTGCTGCCAGGAGAAAATTGTATTGGTGCAGCATAATCCTTGGACAGTTCTAGGGTGGGCACAGACTCCTGGGTTTCTGGGAGTGACTGCCCACAGGGTGCCTGTAAGAGCCGGTGGTGGTCTGCTGTGAGACTCTTTGCTCCCCTCACTGTCCTGCAACACAGGCAAAAGACAAAGTGTTATTTGTTCTCTCCAGGGCCCCTGCCAGAATCTCACCTGCTTCCCACCTGACATCAAGTGCTTCGGGACTTGTGACCAAGGTGTAGTGCCGGTCCCGCTGCTCTGGAACCAGAGCATCGTGCAGCAGCCAGTCTCCTTCCCTGATCTGGTGCCACTCTACAACAAATTCTCCCGGGACTTCATCGCTGACTGTGCCCGACGAGGCCTCCCCTTCCTGCTCTACTATGCCTCCCACGTAGGAGAAGGGGACGGCTGCTCTGGGCCCAAGGGTGGGGGGGGCCCCCGACCCCACAGCCTTTGTCCTGTGGGGAGAGCAGGGAAGCATCTTGGTTCCTGCAGTCCCAGGACTGTGCTGAGCAGTCAGTACCTGCCTCTGGATAACCTGGGGTTGCTGTTTCCACGCCCAGGTCTTGTGGGAGCATCGTTCTGATAATGTTCTGGGGCTGTTTCTTCCTGGAGCTTTGCTCGCTTCTCTGGGCCAGGAGTCCACCTGGGAAAACTTCCCACTCTGGGGCTCCATGTCATTGCCTGGGGCTCAGCTCCTTTATGCCATTTCTGAGAGATGTTTCTGAAGCTTGGGGACAAGCCTTCTCCCATCTCATGGGTATTGTCACGTGTCTCCATGTGCTAGCAGGGGTGCTCGCTGTCCCTTCTCCCATCTCATGGGTATTGTCACGTGTCTCCATGTGCTAGCAGGGGTGCTCGCTGTCCCCGGGTGAAGTGGGAACCAGGTGCAGCTCTGGGGAGTTTGCGTAGCAGCCTTCTCTGCCCTTTCTCCAGCATACGCACTACCCGCAGTTTGCCAGCCAGGAGTACGCAGGGCAGTCACGGCGTGGGCCGTTTGGTGATGCGCTCCTGGAGTTTGATGGTGCCGTGGGACAGCTGCTGCAGGCACTGCAGGAAAATGGTCTTGCAAACACCACCTTGGTGTTTTTCACCTCTGACAACGGGTGAGTGGGGGGACTTTGTCATTGATAAGATTCTCCTGCCACAGTATGAGGGAACTGGAATGAGGCTTTGGTTGGCCTGGGCAAAAGGGGTGTGGGGTGGCATTGCTGGGTGAGACCCCAGTGACCTGAAGTGAGGCAAGAGGTGGACGCTGCTCTGGAGAAGACCCAGTACATGATCCCTTCCTTGTTTGTGTGACTCAGCTGTGCCCCTCCTCGTGGGCAGAAACCTTACAGGGTTCGGACCAGGAGTGTGCAGCAGCCCAAATATGCCCCAATTCCCTTTGTGTGTGGGTGGCATTGGTGTCTGGTGCCCTGCTTAGGTGTCTCACACACCTTGGCTTCTTCACCGGCCCCCAGGCTTCTTCCTGGCCTTCCCGTCTGGCACACCTTGGCTTCTTTCTGGCTCACAAGGCTGAGAAAGATAGCAGTGTCCCTTGCTGGCACCATGTTCCTCTTGTCATGGCACTGTTTGCAGCATCAGGGAAGGGGTAACATGAACCTGTGAAACTGATGATAGGTGGTTCTTCTCTCTGACAGCCCCTCCACCCTGCGGATGGCACGTGGAGGTAGCTCTGGCCATCTGAAGTGTGGGAAGGGCACAACATACGAAGGTGGCATGCGGGAACCAGCAGTGGCTTATTGGCCGGGCCATATCACTCCAGGTGAGACCTGGCACTGCTTGTGCCTTTCATGTGCTGGTGCCGGCCAAGGCAGGGGTGTCATGGCAGCTCGGCTGCCCTGGAACAAGCAGAGGGTGGGAGAGAAGTGAGGATGGTGGGGATGGGAGAGGGATCAGGTGCTTGAACCTTTCCTTGTGCCTTGCTGTGGTGGGTGACAGGAGTGACGCATGAGCTGGCAAGCACCTTGGACATCCTGCCAACCCTGGCTACCCTGGCTGGAGCAGCTCTTCCCAAAGTTGCCCTGGATGGCTATGACCTGAGTCCAGTGTTGTTTGGGTCAGGGAAGGTGAGTCCTGCGGGCTAGTTCGAGTGGCATTGTGCATGAAGGCTGGATGTGGGGCTGGAGCTGTGTGCCTGATGAGTAGAACCAGCTGGGGATCAGGGGTGATCCATGGACTGGGACCTTCTGTCTGGCCTGGGTCATGCCATGGAGTTCTTGGGCTTCCCCAGGCTGCTCAGCTCCAACACCTGCAGCATGTTGCCAAGCCAGACCTCTGGACAGAGCCCCAGTAACTTTGAGTAGGGAGCAAAGAGGATGCTGCTGCTCATCAGCTTCCCCCCTCTCTGGCCGTGTTCTGGTGCAGTATTTGGGTTCCTGTGTGACTCCCTGCCTGGTCCTGTTCAAGGACCAGCTGCATGGCTGCACAGGTGAGCTTAGCTCTGCTGCTTCCCACAGAGTCCCCGCCAGACGATGTTCTTCTACCCGCCGTCACCCGACCCCCTGCACGGCCCCTTCGCCGTCAGGCTTGGGAAGTACAAGGCCCACTACTTCACACAAGGTTAGTGCTGTCTCCTCTCCTCTGCACGGACAGCGTTGTGAGCTCCTGTAGGGTTTTGCTGTCCAAAGCTCAAAGAGAAGAAACTGAGCTACACCTGGGCATTCCTTTTCCAGGTTCCTTTCACAGTGATACCACCCCAGACCAGGCGTGCCACGGGCTGACCCCACTCACCTCTCACGTGCCCCCGCTGCTCTTCGACCTGGAGTCAGACCCAGCCGAGAACTATGATCTGCTGCAGAGCGGCGCAGGGCCGGAGGTTCTGCAAGTCCTGAAGGAGATCAAACTGCAGAAAGTGCTTTTTGAACAGCGCATGGAGTTTGGGGAAAGCCAGATGAGCAAGGGCAGGGATCCCACTCTGCAGCCCTGCTGCGTACCAAACTGCACTCCTAAGCCTTCCTGCTGCCGCTGCTCCTAGCCTCTTGCTGCTCCGTCCCCTTCAGTTGCTCCACACCGGAACCTTATCCCAAACCCACCCGACCCCCCAATCCCCCGACTAACCCAGTTCAGCCTTAGAGCTGCTCTCAGCTGTGGCTCAGTGACACCTCAGACTGACGGGGTGCTGGGGTGGCACTGTGGGCTGGGGAGATCACCAGCCCTGCTGGGAGTGCCGCTCAGCGGACCCTGTGCTCCCGGCTGGTTGGTCAAGCCGAGGCCTCTCGACAGAAATGCGGACTTTTTCAGGGAGGGACCATGGCAGCATCACCTCCAGAGCCAGAACAGCTCCTTTCAAGCCATGATCAAGATGAAGCTGCTCCAACACTACAGGCATGGAGTCATTTTATCACTGCCTCAACCCCCTTTCAAAGGCCAACACCAACACAATCGGGCAGGTTTAGCTCCTGCCTATTTCCACTCCAGAAGGTGGTGGAATTTACTTGGATGCAGGAGCTCCTGTAGGTCCCAAGGAGAAAAAAGGCTTGAGCAGTAGGATGAACGGGGTCCAGGACAGGCTGCAGGGTACCATGACCACTTCCTTCTGGGGCAATGCCTGCCAATCCAAAGGCAGGCTCAGTCTCAAAGGCCTGCTTTGTCCTGCCCACTCTCCCCTGAATGCACACAAAGGCTGAAGTGGACTTAGTTCTTGTGGGCAGCAGGTCAAGGGAGGGGATTCTGCCCCTCTGCTCTGCTCTCAGGAGACCCTCCCCTGCAGTGCCACATTCACCTCTGGGGCCCCCAACACAAGAAGGACATGGAGCTGTTGGATCGGGTCCAGAGGAGGCCACGAAGATGATCCGGGGGCTGGAGCACCTCTGCTATGGAGACAGGCTGGGAGAGTTGGGGCTGTTCAGCCTGGAGAAGAGAAGGCTCCGGGGAGACCTTCCAGTACCTAAAGGGGCTACAAGAAAGCTGGAGAGGGGCTTTGGACATGGGCATGGAGTGAGAGGACACGTGGCAATGGCTTTAAACTGAGAGAGGGGAAATTTCGATGAGATCTAAGGAAGAAATTTTTTACACTGAGGGTGGTGAGGCACTGGCACAGGTTGCCCAGAGAAGTTGTGGCTGCCCCATCCCTGGAAGCGTTCAAGGCCAGGTTGGATGAGGCTTTGAGCAGCCTGGTGTAGTGGAGGGTGTCCCTGCCCATGGCAGGGGAGTTGGAACTGGATGATCTTTGAGGTCCCTTCCAACCCAAACCATTTCATGATTCTATGAAATAAAGTTGCCACTTTTCACAGCTAACCATGCTTTCGTTCAATTCCATCTCCTGCCCAAGGCAAGGACTTCCATGCCTGGCACCTGCAGAATGAGGCTGAAGCCAGGGAGGGCACTCAAAAGGGCTGAAACTGCCTAGTCAGAGAGGTGAGGGTGAGGTTGCAGTGGAAGAAGGGAACACAGGTCATAGGGGGCTAGAGGTCTTGGGGACAGCAGCTGGAAACATGAAGTGCCTTAGGCCAGTGACAGCTGGGATCCCTCGTGTGTGCATGTACAGTGTACCAGCAGACTTGAAACCAGACTATCTCCTGACCCAGGAGATGCAGGCCTGGAAAGCCCCAAGGTTTGCACCAATGACTAGGTAAGGAGCTTGATGTCCAGCCCCAGATATTACATGGACTTAATTTCCATACTGTTATTTGAGGAATCTATGAACATGCTGTGCTTATGAATCTGGGGCATGAAGGTGTGTTTATGTTTCACTAGTAAACGTCCAGTCCTGATCATCTGGAAAAGCAGAAAAGGACTGGCCTGTGCTCAGGGTTATGTACAAGGCAGCTCTGTATCCACGGGTGCTGGTCAAGGCAGTGCTCTGCGTCTCTGTTTCGCTGTTCACGTGTATGTGTAAGTCCGTGTATGTGTTTGTGTATCTGCCTCTCCGGAATGCAGCCTCATTGCGCAGACGCACGTGGGAACAGCAGCAGCCACATCCATCGGGATGGGACAGGACAAGCCTCCTGGCTTTGAGAGTCCACCTGATTCAGCTCTAGCGGACCTGAGAGGAGAAACCCCCCCGTGTTCAGAAGTCTACTGGATCTGGGGAAGGAAACCCGCAGAAGCTCTGCAGCAGAGGTCACAGCGGTGGACGGAGAGACAGTGCTGGCTATAGGCTGTGAAAGCAACGGGGGGGCTGGCAGTTGGACTTGCACGGCGTAGTAACTAGGAGTGCCTTATAACAAAAGTGCAGGAAGGACGCAAGCTCAAAGCTTTGTAAAAAAAAAAATCTTTATAGTGTTTGTTTTCTCCAGTAGATACCATTAAAGCATCTGGGAAGGACCCTTCCCTGCAGGTCCAAGAGTGGCTTAGGTCTCCTGGCAGACTTTGCCTTGAAGAAGCACACAGTAAGTAGCAGCCATGTGGATACTCTCACCCTTTCCTTGACCGTGATGTGCAGTGCCTGGGGCCGAGTCAAGGAAGGTCATGCCGACACAGTATCCCACAAGAAGGGGAGAGGCCCTGCTGCCCATCACCAGAGCTCTCAGGGCGTGAGAAAAATCACTTTCTTCTGTGAAGGCCAGTTCTAACTAGCCCCAGAAATCTAGAGCAATGGGAAAAAACAGACTCAGGGTCTGGGGCTTAGGCAGATGGGGGCTTCTTTTCAGGGCAGCTATCTTCTTTGTCCGACAAATTCTCACTCTTCTGCAGGTTGAAGCTCTGGAAAGGAGCAGGACAAGGATCTTCTGAGAAGCATGACAGCAACAGCTACACTCTGCTGTGGTTCTTTCAAATTCAGTCTAGGGCAGCGTGGGCTCTTTAGAGGGTCACCACCTCACCCCTTCCAACCTAGACATGAGCAGTGCGCAAACCTCATGGTGTCACCAGCATAAGGCAAATCTTTCCCATACCTGCAAAGCTTCACTCTGCTCCAGGCTCTGCTTTCCCCGAGGTAAAAAAGAGCAGAGCTGCTAATTGCTTAAGAAGAGTGCAGTAGAAGAGTCTTCCTTACCTCCAGTTCTCGCATGACCTCGTCCATGAAATCTCCTGAATTCTGTTTGTAAGCAACTGCCAGTTTGATAGCATCATTGAAGAGCTGACGAGAGGGAGAATGCTTGTCACTGAAAGTACGGGGCACTGGGTTTTTGTAACGTATGGAAACTGTTCCCACACCCCAAGAAAAAAAACCACCACCTCTGCAACTACCTATCACTACCAGGACCTCACAAGTAGCCAAACAGATGTTCTCGCCCATTTTCTGCTCTCTGTGCCTACAGCAGCCTTCGTGTCCTTGGACTGTATAGGGGTCTCATAGATGCTGAACCAAATAGCTATGTTTTACCTTCACTACATTGGTGCCATCAGCAGCAGACACAAAGTAAAAGGGCAAACTGAATTTCCGAGCAAAGTTGAAGCTTTTCTGGGTCACCTTCATATCCGCTGGGGGCAAAAAAACAAGTGGTCAGTAAGACATCACCGTAGGCAGAATGCCAACATATGCAGGAGTAGTGGAACAGATGGAGACCAGAGCCCCATTTAGCTGTCAAGGCCCCCTCACTGTAGTACAAGGCGAGGAGAGTCCTCCCCAAAGGCTACAGGGTTTTAAAAGCAACAGCATCAGCAAACCGTTGACAAGAAGACACAGGAAGAAAAGAGTTCTTGTTGGACTAAATTATTGATGGATTCTGATGTGCTATCAATGAATAATGCTTCGCCACTTAGAACACATCAGTTCCCTTGCTGTGCAGCAACTATAAATGTTTTCCAGGCACATGCCTGTAATTTTTGCTGGGTGTCCACATGACCCGGACACCATTGCTAGTACTAGTCATGTCTCTCCCTCCAGTCTGGCCTTTTTAACCAGAAGTCCCCACAGCCCTTATGCCATGAATCAGTGGATTCAAGGCTGGCTTGACACATCCTATAGGAAAGGCTTTCATTAGGTAAGATCAATCATGCCCTAAACCACATCACTGAACCAAATGACATTCTGTGGACTGCAGCAGGAACCCAGACACCTTATTCAGGTGGACACACCTATTCATAGCTGTGATGATTTCTGCCA